TTGGTAAATTTAGAGAACGTATAGGCTGTTCCCCTTCCCTTAAATTGTCAAAAATAATTTTATAAAATGAAGTTCAAGCATAAAAAAGAGCTAACCAGTTGGTGAAAAACGGAGAGTCTTCTTCTTTGCATTAAGTAATTAATTTTGTTGTTATATGAAACCAAAACTTTTATCATATAACATAATAATACAAGAGCATGCTTTTCCTTTCTCAGGGAGGTAATATTTTTGCAGTTCTATGAGGGCTGTTTGAAAAGTTCGCGGACCATGTCAATCAGTCTTATACTATTATCAAGAAATTTAACATGAGCACATTATAATGTGTAAACATATTTATTTGTTCATGTGTGAAGTTTCTTTTCATGTGATTTAATAGAGTTCATGTTACTTAATATTAAGTGACCATGGAGCAAACTAAAAAAGTTGTAACGTCAAAACACAATGCCAATAGTTTCTCAAAAATACTCTCCCTATACATATCACACAGTCTGCCCGTTACCCACTCACTTAAAACGTTTCTCTATCACTTGAAATTTATTTTGCTAACAACAGTTCCAGTAGGAAATTTTTCCCTTGTGAATGTTTTAATATTTTCACAGCATAACTGTACTTTCCCAAGATCAGCAACTGTGAAGCGCTGATCTCTTCCCTTGACGTTACTAACCCTATTTAAGTTTTTGATCAGATTTTCACAGATAATCCGTTTGCTCACAGATGGTCCTCGTCTGATACAGAGTATCTATTATTGAAATACCCTATACATACACGACTCGCTTTTGACTCATTTCCTGCTTCCTCAAGCATTTCAGAAAACATTCAGCTCCGTGATGTAAAACGACCTCATCTTTCTTTAAAGGAAGACCATCTATCTTCTGAAATTAATTTTTATTCAACAAAGCATAATATTATGTCATAATTTGGAATATGAAACGATGTAATAATTCTGAATTTGAACGTCTAGGTTTTTCTTGTTTGTACTCACTTTTACAGAAATGACTACAGACATTATTAAGTGTATTGTTCGTAAATTATCTAATTTTTACCTGCTCCACCATCCCGTTTTCGCGGGTTTCTTTTATTTTAATGAAACTTTAAAATATATAACGATATTTTTAAATAATCATTACATATCATTCGAATTTATTGTTAAAACAATTTTACCAAACTTAGGTATTATATGGCGTTAAAACTGACAGAAGTCCTCCAACTTACCGAACAACCCTTCTATATTATTGCATCATTGAATTAAGGGACAAGGGGAATGATACTGTGAACATACATAGATACATCCTGGCAGAGTTATTAAGGGCCTGGGGGCGCAACCTCCCTAAATTTGTCATTAAAGAGTTGGTTACACGAAATGAAGGTCAAGCTTTTCTTAAAAGATAAATTTCTGTAACCACAGAGTAATTGTTACTAATGATTCAAGCAGAGAAAAGTGGTAGGGGAAGACACGATTAACAATAATTTTTATTGAAAGAAGACACCTGCAACACTCTCCTCCGCATTCTCTCTCTCTCTCTCTCTCTCTCTCTCTCTCTCTCTCTCTCTCTCTCTCTCTCTTTAATAAAAAAGAACAAGATATAAATTAATAAATGATGAATATTCTTATAAAATTTTGAAAAAAAATATTTTTATATATCAATTAATACGTAAGCTTAGAAGAGATTAATATTTAATTATTATATAAACATCACAGAATTTCCCATGCATTTAAATATAAAATATTCATTCATTATATAAAAAAGTAATTACCTGTTTTTTTATTTGAGGTTTGAAAATAATGTCTGAATTTAGTCCAGTTTGGTTATTACAACAAGCTGGGTTTTCATAAAAAAGAAAGCCAGATTATAGCAATACTTTTTCGACAAACATCACATAATTAGTGGTCATTTAGGCACTATAATTTCTTAGTTAAACACTATGTGATACTTTTTCCTTACATGATTTTAAACGTAGTACAAATAACAAGCAATAAGATGCATCTAAAGAAAGACAACTGTAAGAACAAAATTGACATACTAAATTCTTTAAAATACGAACAAAAATGTGATAGAAAGCTGGTAAACAATGACTTTAAAATTATCACAGCTTTCTACACTCTTTCCTTTCTCTTGTTCTTATGTTCTTATACTTTCACTCAATCGCAGATACATACAATTACAAAGATATACATGACAAAAACGTAAAAATCATTCTGAAAGATTAGAGAGAGAGAGAGAGGGGGGGGGGTAAATGAAATATTTTATTCAGTAGAAACTTTTCATTCCAATTCTTTCAATTATAAAATGTTTAAGAGTCTCGGTTCTTTATGCTGTGGTAATTATGCAGTTTTTCTTTTTAAATTGATTGCTTAACAAAACAAACAGGCCTGTTCAGTTTCTGCAAGTTTCTGCAAGTTCCTCTCCTCAATTTTAAACCAAAGTTCTTTAAACACATTCAACAAAGGGATAATTAATAGTTTAAGTGTTATTCCCATAAAAGGTAAATAATTCAATTAATCTAAAATTGTGAAGGTGCCATTTAGTAGGAACTATTGCATATTTATCATGAAATAGAATAGAAACAATATAAATCTATGAACAGGCCATAAAACTCGGATCCTTGGAAATTCCAGAGGTGGTGAAGGGTGCCTTGGAGGGGTAAGCATTCCCTGTCGACTGGTCACACCCGCCGTAAGCCCAATGTATTGATCAGATAGACCGTAGTCAGTAGTCAAATCTAGTATAAATACAAAGGCCAGTCAAAATACGACCCAATGATTGGCTGTATTTGCTAACAAATTATTATGCTTATCATAAGATTTACAAAATATTGACTTTAAACGAGGTTGTTGAAACTACTGTTAAAATCCACTTATTTGTCAGTAGCCTGCCTCGGTTTACAAATTGATTGTACTCAGAGCATGTTCTTTAGTATCAATAAGTTGGGAGATATAAACACCATGCAGTTGTTAATAGAGTATTATAAAGTTGGCGATGGGAAAGCTGAATTCATCTCGTTTGTCATACAATTTAGTTATTAGTTTGCCCTTATCGTCTATAGTCAGTAAAGGAATTTTAAGCACTGGAATTTAGATTGGTCAATTTTCTTTTTTCACCATTTTATAATATTTGTGGTCGAACACGATCGATGACTATGCGATATTGTTCTTTAAATTCTTGTTTCAAAAAGATATCTTCAGAATCATACATTCATTTATATCAAGTTACTCTCTCAAAATATTTAACTCTAGTTACCCTCCTTTATTTGAACAAATGAGCCACTGGTATTTTGGGGGAAAGGTAAGAAATAAACTGGAAAATGCTTCCCAATATGACAGATTTATTTGATGACACTTTGTACAGCCGTGTTTGAATCCTTAATTCGAAAAAATAATTTCAAGACTACTGCGTGTACAATAAATAAAATTAGTATGCTTTCATAACACAACAGACAAGTTATCAGTTAAGAAATATGTGTAGTCTTCTATGTATTGAAAACAACGTTAACATGATCGTACTGTTCATTTAATAATAACACGTCCGCCGTCCCTTCTGATGCCTTTATATGACTATACATATCAGCACTGTCTATACAACTGTTAGTATTTTGGTTGTACAGGGCAGTTCTTAAAAGTAATTTATTGTAATGTCCCTCGCTAGCTTCTTGTGTATCATACATGTGTTCTTCCTTACTCATTTTATTATCCGCATTTGAAGTTGTAACGTATACTGAACAGGTTTGCAAGAGTTGCTTCCCTTTGGCACCCAAACATTCAGATGGTGTGTTAGACTTTTCAACAACGCTATAAACACTATCTCTAGTAGCTGCAATATAAACGAAATTGAAATGAACTGAGGCTCAAGTGATGTCTTGTTTTAAATTGAAATGAACTGAGGCTCAAGTGATGTCTTGTTTTAAATTGAAAAGTATCTGCTTGCCTGCTATACAAATATAGAAGAAAACAATGTTAATTCTTTTTGAAAGCAATAATATCAAAAGCCAAGACTATCAAAAATCAAATAATTACAAGCAACCCCAAATAATATAGATATAAATATGTTCAAATTATGTCTCGGGGTTAAGGTTAAACCAAACGTGGGTCAAAGATTTTTACATAAGATAAATAATGGAAAAATCTATTAAAAATTCTAAAGTTTTCATTACTTATATCAACACGAAGGAAATCAGAAGTAAATTTGGCTCAAATTGATATCATTTATGCCTTTGTACGTGAGTTGTTGGAAAAGGGAGGGAAAACAGAAATATGAAGAAATCCAGAAGAATAGGAAGGTAAAATTTATTTACTGTAAATCACAAAGCTTTAACATGGATTTTGAATTTATTGCATCATTCAGTTTATTCATTTGTATTCATATTTATTTGTAAGGAAGAAAATAATCAATCGAGTGAGCTTTGTTGCCAATGAGCCTTTTCCACCATTAAAGGACATGCAGCAGTCTTACATGCAGCAATCTTACCAGTATAGATTCTTTCTTGTACAATTAAATGCTGTGCACTCGCAGGACATTCTTCTACTCTATTTCTAAGCGAAAAGGGGAGAAGGTTTGACCTGGCATGATTATTATTCGGTTTTTCCTACTTAAGGTTCATAAACCCTCTGCTCACTCATATAAAATGTTGCTTTAACTTTTATGATTTTCCGAAAGAAATATGTTTTATAAGTAAACTATAAACAATTATACCATAGCTTGCGGGGCAAAATTAAACAAAAAAGACATTCCAACTTGACAGATCTATAAAAGAATAATACACATTTATGTCATTAAGAGTTATCTCTCTTATCAGAGTATCAATGAACCTTAGCATGAATTTAAAAAAAAAAATGAATAAGTACTAACCTTTTTCTTTTTTTAAGATAACAACAACAAACTACCAGCAATATGAGGAGTACAGAAGTGACAGCAATAACAGGTACCACAGTTAGAAACAGTACGTTCTCTTCCGGTTGTACTTGAGTTGTAGCAGAAGTATAACTTATCGTCCGTGCAGCTGTTCTCCATTTCCATGTCGATGTCACTGGTTCCGTGGATACTTTATCTGATTAAAAGAAAACAAATCATTAAAGCTTAAAACAAACAAACAAACAACAGACCTTGTGCATGCAAAAGAAATTTTGAGTACCTGTTGTGATTCGACAACCACTTTCAAAATGACATTCTTCTATTGGACATTCACATTTTTGATGGCATGCAAAACCGAAGGTACCATTTTCACATTCTGTGATAAAACAAGCAATGGTTAAAGAAGTGGTCACACTTTGTCTTCTAAGCAAATACTTCAAATCTTACATTTATCTTCTATCTACTTCTTACTAAGTACTAGACTTTTCTTCAAGAATTGTATTTTTAAATTCAAAGTTATTCTGATAAAAGAAATTCTAAAAAAAAAAAAAATGAATTAATCAAATAACTTCTGGGTTGCCAATGTTTTGCAAGATTTTGAAGTTCAGGCGAAGACACACAAAGTCTAGAGTCATAACATAATTCCAATTTTCAATGTTTATTGTTGCAGTTCAAATGAATTTGCAAAAAAAGTGCGTAAAATGAATGAAAGTCAAAAACTTTTGAGCTGAAAAAATTACCAGATATATCATATTTTTCAATCTCTACAGACTGACTAACGGTTAGAAAAAATTTAAAAATTGCACATAACACTTTTGTGTTATAAGAGGATTTTTTCTGGAATAAGTTATATATATATATATATATATATATATATATATATATATATATATATATATATATATATATATATATATATATATATAAAACATACTCTCCACGCAGTTTGATCCGATGTAACCAATTTTACAAACACAACGTGTAGTTGTTTCGTTTCTGAATGCATTTTCCGGACATGACATTGCTGCTCTTTTGTTTAAGAATATCTTTTGATAAAATTCCTTCCGGAACTTGTCTTTGGTCTATTTCAAATAAACAATAGATATGTATTTCAAATAGTTGAAAAAATAACCTACTTACTGGCAGTATCTTGCTCTGTCATTAAAATGTATTTAATGTTTTAATGTTATATATATATATATATATATATATATATATATATATATATATATATATATATATATATATATATATATATATATAATGGTCAGTCAATGCTTTCGAATTTCATTAGCATTAAATTGCAATAATTATCAATTTCTTTAGACCAGTAAAATTCAGCGCGCAATAAAATGGATTACAATTTACATTATATAATTTAAAATGATAAAACAGATTTTTCTTGACAAGAAATTGACAACAGTTGTTAAAATGAAACAAACCATCTTCCGGGTCACCAACACTTGTACGAGGGTTGTCCCAGAAAAACGCGAATATTTTCAATATATTTTGTTTCACTAATTCTATAAAGTTAATATTGGCATACACCATAATCAACATTTTTTGAGTAATGTATAAAAATTTCAGTAAAATATCTCTATAAATAACATCTCCCAGTTAAATGAATCTTACAAAATAGCTGTCGGCGCAACACTGACGACGTCAAAACGTAACTCGTGGCGTTTTGTGAATTTGTTATGGAATCGTGCGTCTGATGAAATTCGTTTGAAGTATAAATTCGACACTGTATTTAATTTTCTGTTAGTTACCAAGTTATCCATCTCAGATATTAATTCGCGTTTCCGAAAGACCGCGGAATTAGTTCTTTTAATAAAATTTAACCATTTCCCGACCCTGGTCATAAGTTTACCTAACTGCTCGCTTAGTTAAACGGCCGTCGCCAAGTATGACGTTCAGCTTCTAACTTTTCACTTTGTTGGTCTACCAAACGCTTCTTCCATCGAATGACCAGTCAGGCCATCCTCGAACTTCTTGAACTAGGTATAAATCTGTGTCCAAAATATGTGTTTGTGTCGTTCCATCGTTTACATCTCTTTTCCCGTATGGGCAGGAGTCATATCCCGCTCAACAGTACTGCTTGATAACTGGGTGCTCCGCATTATCGCCCGACGTCACAATTTTTGACAATATCTAAGTAAAGGGTTTTTCTTGCATCTAACGTCATATGTTTGTCACTTGTGATGCTAAATTAATAAATTTTACACATGAGTACTTCAGATCATAGACTTTTATGGAGATAATTTTTTCACATTATATTTCCGCATAGCCTGGTAATAAAGAAAACTTCACTGACAATGCTATTTCTAAAACACCAAAAATTGCCGTGCGCCGAGCACAGATATTTGACACCCTTTAAAAGCTTTTTTTAAATGCATATGACATTAAAACATTATAATATTTTGTCAAAATAGCAAAAATTTCATTTTTCAACAATGTGCGAAAAATTATTTATTTTTGTCGAATAGTTTTTGAAATATTCAAAAAGTTCTCGTTTTTCTGGGACAATCCTCGTACATAAAAAATCACATTACAAAAAAATATCACCTACCATGCAACTGTAAAGCTTCCTCAAAGAAGGGACAATTTATCCGAAGAAAAACAAAGTAACAGTGTTTCCTGTAACGTATCCTCAGTACTGCCTTTAGGGGTAATGATCTTGATGAATACAAACAAACAGGAAGATACAAGCAGCGATTTACCGCCTAACTAGCATACATTTGAAGTATCAAGATTAAGCTGAGAAAATAATGACCTTGGAACTAAGTGTATTTGAATTTTAGTAACGTTTACTTCCACGTACCTACTGATATACGTATAATGACGAAGTATGTATTTTTTATTTAAGAGTTACATGTAGACTATAACATGTATATTTGTGAAAGTATTATCCCCAAGTTCCCAAAACCCATCACCATAGGCGGAAAACATGCTGTGTTACTCTCTAAATCATTTTTGGTTTGTATCTTATTTGCTACATTAAGTAATGAATTTAAACATTGTTTTAAGTTCTTTTAACCAAAAATCCAGCTATTGGGCTTATATAAAATCACTAAATAGAATGTGTATCATATCCATTTTTATTACGTCCAATGATTCCTAACTCCGTCACCAGGGCCATTTTAAATATGCCAACGTATATTAAACATGTTAAATACACTTTTTCAAGCTAAGAATTTGTCCTTTTTTTCTAAACTTGAAAATATAAAAAAAATAGTTTTTTAAAGATTTAAAATAGGATTAAATTGTATTTTAAGAAAGGTATTAAGAAAACAAGATAATTTCTTAAAGCGACACTGTGACGGACAAACGGGAAAATTTACAACAGTAGAATTTTTGCATGACACATGCAAATTTTGTTCAGTTCTTGAAGATATTAGGTTTCAGAAAATTACAGGTTTCAGAACCTAAAAAATCTAATTTAATGGATAAAAATAAAAGTAAAAAAAATTCTTTGTATAACCCATCACAAAAATATTGCTTCACTTCTTCCTCTTTATTGTACGTATGCGCTGAAAAGTTGAAGAATTTACCATGGTTTCAATTCCATAGATATAAATGTCGGATGACGGAGAATTTTGATGCAATCTTCAAAAAAGATGGTCATAACTTATTCCTTACTTCTGCTTGCCCCAGTTCAATGTTGTTTACAAGTTTCACGCTAAAAATAAAGGACACGTGACCTTGACTTTGTTGACATTGACAATAAAAACAAATCGATAGATACAACATTTGTTTTTCCGGCACTTATATTTTGCAGTTTTTTTTTCTTGCTTTACAGTGCAGTTGAGTTGTCACAACTTCGCTATTTTCATATTTCACAGAAATCTTTTGTTTTGTGATACAATTTTCCTAAAAGAAACACATGGTTTTGACTCATTATGCAACTTAAATAAAACTTATTTTATTATACCTTTAGCAGAATACTCAAATTGAATTGGCTTGTAAGGAAGCTTTAAAACTCAATAATGACTCCAAAAAGTGCTGTTTACAGATAATGACCCAGGAATCGTTGCACGTTGAGGATAGTGACACGGTCATTATAAATATTGACCGCTCAATAATGACCTGTTAATCAAAATTCTCTTCAAATTAAACTTGATGCATAGAGTACTGATTATACGTCAAAAAACATGCCGTTATGAAATGCACATTGTCTGTTTATGAAACCAAAAAGAAAAAGAAAAAAGAGATAGATCTAGATCTTGTTTAAATGGACTTTAAGCTTGAATACTGTTCGTTGTATATCGCCATATTTCATCTATATTTTATCGTTTATGCATTTAAAAATTTCGTTACTATGTCAGGAAATGCAGAATCGGCTTTCCTTAACAGTGAGATTCTGTGCCAGATTTTCAGAATTCAGTTTTTTTTTCAGATTTTTTCAATTTGCAATTGTCAATTTTAACAATGCACGTCACTGTCAATCACAAAGTGTAATCTTTCACGACTTGCAAGCTATCGTCAACGTAAACAACTTCACTAGCGAATCCCGATCCCGATCAAGGAACAAACTCTGTGACATAGAGTATCATCATGTATATTTTCCCAAGAGGGTTTGTTTAACATGGGTTGTCAGAAAACTATTATAAATCACATGTTTTTAATATAAATTTTAATCCATTCCTTTGTAATCCCAATCCAGTGAAGGTCAATGTTAGGAAACAGTCAACAAATCTTTACAATTTTAAAAATCAAATGTACAAAAGAATCTTATATCGGTATAATAAAATATCAATTGATTATCCCTTATGAGTCCAACATGGTAAATAGGGACCCTCGACCTAGCCCATTCGCTGACCTGACCTGATCTTGACCGCTACACGGTAACTAATTGTATATTATACGTAATAAAGCCGCTTAAAGTTACCTCCAAAGTGTTGTGCTTCAGGGCAAAGGTGAACAAAAAGTAGACTACTTTAGTAGTATCAACATGATATGGCATGTTAAATGCAATAAAGTCGCTTAAAGTTACCTCCAAAGTGTAGTGCATTAGGGCATATGTGGACAAAAAGAAGACTATTTTAGTCGAATTGAACATGGTATGGTATGTTTACCTTTGATATAGACCTTCATAAAAATGGCTGACAAGTGAAAATGAGATGTTGATGCATATCCGATGTAAAAGTGTATGAAGGAAAAGGTGTTCAGTGGTTTTACGTTATATATGCTAGATATATAATAGATTATGTATAATTGTTTTGATACTTTCTTGATCTGGACTGAAAAAATGTCTCAACATTTAATAATAGATTTTAAGTAATACCTAAAATGTTGTCATAATCGCATTCGGTTACAAACAGCACGCAGTTTCCCGAGAGTGAGGGAGTAAGGGTCGTGAAGGAGTTTGGCAATAGTTGAATTCTTACGGATTTTTACGGTTTCTATCGTTATTTTATAGACTTAAGTGTGTTTTAAGACATTTGTATTAACATTTCCAACTGTTTTCTCTTTGACATCATTTAAAAAGAAAAATGTGTTAATTTCTCAATATTTAAACCTGAATGTAAATTTCGCAAAGTGAAAGGTCAAGTGCCTAATATGCATGTCAATTTCCCGAGCTATTACGATGTCTAACGTCTGTGGGTGGAACAATGGCAACTCTAAACATGGAATGCGTCCTGTATTTCAATTTACTTAGGCAGCACTTTTCATTTATATTTACATTTTTATTTCACATATAAATTTAAATTTTAGGGATCACTGTCTAGTTTGTTTGGTATGCCAATATAACTGCCAAGTACAGTTTTATAGAAATTAGCTCAGTAAAGATTGTTTAAGATGCATTTTGGCACTAGCGGCACCGAGCACCAGATAGCAACAACCACCGGCTCGCATACTAAACCATTCTATGTTGCATATGCTAATACTGGTAATTGACATTAGCACAAAAATATAACAGATTTCGCTCTGCAATCTACGAACATGGTATGCTAGCATTAGGAAGAGGGGTGGACTTTTTGTAGTTTAGAATTAGATTTCGAATTTCAGATATAGTCCTGATCATAGTATCGGAGTTCCAGATTG